ACTCAGAAACTGTTCAACATAGGAGCTTCAGATTTCTTTTGTTGTTTAGCGCTGATGAAGCTCTATCCGTTAGGCCCACCAACCAGTGCCCCCCAAGACCCCCAATTTATCTGAAAAAGGGGTATCTGGACATACAAAAGTGGTTATTGCTCAAAAACTATTAAACATAGGAGCTTCAGATTTTTTTGGTTGTTTAGCTCTGATGAAGCTCGATCCATCAGGCCCACCAATCAGTGCACCCCGACCCCAATTTAATCAGAATAAGGGGTATCTGGACATACAAAAATAGTTATAGCTCAAAAACTATTAAACATAGGAGCTCCAGATTTCTTTGATTGTTTAGCTCTGATGAGKGGCKATCCATCAGGTTAACCAATTCCCACCCAAGCCACTACAGTTTTGGGATGCACCTAGTAGCATGACATTTATTAGGAATAAAGACTTCTGAGTTCTGGTGCATTTGTGCGTGCGGGGGTCATTATGTTACCGCTATGCGGTATCTAGTTTAACACTGAATTTTTTTTAAATCAACCTGATTGAAGACGATTGCCACAGTCAACTGATGTTAGAGAACACAAACATAACTGACTCAGTTAGTTTTATAGATGCTGAGCTAAAATTTRATGTGGTTGTAGCCAAGAGAACATTTCGACACATACTGTGAGCATGAAATCTCATGATATCGAATGAGATCGAATGAGATTGCAAAAATCATTTATTTGTAAGATTTGACAAAAAATGACAATGACTTCTTTATTTCTCTACATAAGATGATCTTAATATAAAACTCGGGCATGAAAGGCTGTGGACGATATGAATTATTTTACAGGTCCCTGGGTTATCCTGTGGCTATGCAATCTCCACTCCCTGTCAGGAACTACAAAACTTTTGGTGGCAGCAGGGGGTGATGTCAGTTTTCATACGCAAGGGCACCCTCCTTGGATAATGGTAGAGAATTTCCTGCTAGGCAAGATAAGCAAATTAAAATTTAGAAGCAAAAGTTTGGGAACACAACAGGGGTCCTGTGCAACAACTGATGTTGACAGATTACTCAACTAGTTAAAAAATAACAATAATGGCAATAAAGCAGTGGAACAGGCATAAAAATGGCCTAACCGGAACATAAGCAATCAACCAGACAGAATCCCCAGTTTGCTCAATAGAGACACATTATAAGTGTAGACTTTCAATCACTCCGTTTTATTCAAGCTCCACATCAAGAATGAATAGCAACAAATTTCTATCAATCACAATCAGCTGATTTACTGAACGGACCGTGTGGGTCGAGGTGAGTTCAGAACAATCTCCTTCTTTCCCCCTAACAGAAGAACCAAGACCCTGACATTTCCGATCCTGCTGCCACAGGTGAAATCGAATCCAATTATGGCAATAAGTACTGCTTAAGCAATGGGTTCCGAAAAACTCTTAGGAATCATCCATCATGGTGAGATAACGGGTTAAGCTCTCCCACACTAACCTCCCAAACCCCATAAAACCAAAGAGCTCATCACTGACTGATGACTGTCAGCTAAATGACACAGGAATACACTGTATTTAATGACTAAAATAAATCAATTCCAACAGACTGGCTCATGAAGGACAGTTCTAAAATGTGACCTAAATATGTCTGCTGAAGGCTTTTCAAACACAGTAAGTTGTTTGCTTTCATTGTTACTAGTTTCACATTAGTTTGAGTTGATGTGTAGAAAACTAATCCTCTGTTTCAGTTCCACRGAGGTTCTTGCTGTGCATAAGCTTTTTAAATTTATACATTAGCTATTCACAAATTATACTATTTGACTAACCTGGAGTGCCAGATGGTTTGTTTTGCAGGACCATCTGGGAAAATGTGAGTTAAAAATGTTTTAAAACAGGACAGGCACTCCTAAAAATACTTGGCAGGTGAATGAATGAACCATCTGTCTATTGCAGTCTATCCCGAGTGAACTTTAACCAATCGGATCAGCAATGGCAACCAATCAAGAATGTATATTTAAATTTTGTCAAAGCCACAAGAGAAAGGGAAAAGCAATCCATTTTTTACATCTGAAAAGTCTTGTGCCATTGAAGTTACAGCAGCTTGGTCAGTCCATGAGCCAGTCACAGCTGTCAGTATTCAAAAGCAAGAACAAAAACACTTATACTAAATTATTAGAGAACTACTTGTATGTGCAAATGATGAATAATTTGGAACAAAATGAAGGTAGAAGGCCTGTGATGGACTCGCAACCATGACCCGGAATGGAAAAAGTGGGTAAAGAAGATGGATGGATGGATGGATGGATGGATGAAGGATGAAGGATGAAGGCATGGCTGCTCATAAACAAATTACAAACTTGGTAGAGGAATATTCCATTGAAACAAATTGAGAGAACCAGTCACAAGAGGATGATCCCCAGTTCTGTCCAACAACTAGGCCTGGCATTAACATCCATCTTGGGTCATTTGATTACAAGTGGACAGCTTGAGTGTGTTCATACCCGGCAGTTCAAAATAGAGCTGGTTGTCCAGTACCCATTGTCAGTGAGCAACAATTAGAGTACACAACTCTTAAAAAGCCTTAGTACCTAAAAGATGCAATATGAAAGTACTCTATGGGCACATACAAAGCTTTGTGTCGAAGTAAAGATACATTTTAAGCCACGAAACTCAACCRCAGTAAAAAGGGCACAGACAGCAGTCTTTTGTTATTCACACATCTTCACTGTAAAAGTAACATTTGTGCTGTGTTGGTGAATAATAAATGCAACATAAAACTGCAGTGGGCACAGATAAATATAAAGCTAGCTATGTTAACTCATAAATAAAAATATAGCTTCACTAATGCTAAATGGCTAAAAACACAAGCTAAAAATTTGTGGAACCTAAGGCTAACAGCGAAGACRACTGTCACTCAGGCTGTGTCCAAAACGGCAGGCCGAGTCCTCCGAAGGCCGAATTCATCGGCTGCATACGTCACAGCGCCGCGACAAAGGCCRTCCAAAACCAAAGACTCCTCCGATGCGGCCGACAAATGTGTCCTTCCTTTGGCCCGAATCGAAGGACTGATCCGATGGATCCTTCACGGCCCAGCGTATCCCATAATGCAATACGGCCCGACCGGATATTTTTTTATGCTAGTAATGGTGGACGAAGCGAGAGAAAATAATACATTTTAAATAAAAATATAGCGGCATAAAAATTCACATTTTCCAGCGGTTGTGTTTTTATTACTTTTATCATTTGTATAGACGTATTTTTAAATATTATTTTTGTCAGAAAAAAAGAGAAATAAACTTGCACCTATGGCAGGTCCATTAGTTCTTCAACTATTACCTTTAATTTAATTTTATTGTTTTGTGATATTAATAACACCAATATATTGATATTTTTCTACTTTGGATCAAATTTTGCTTCTTTTTAGCGTTGTCACGGTGGCTAGGTGACAGGACATACGCCGGGGTAAGGATGGGATGCTAGACYGTCTAAATTCCCAGACACTTTTTTCTGGTCTTCCCAGTCTACCAATGACCCGGCCCACCTTGACCGGGTAGGCTGGGTCCTCCGAAGGACCCGGCCTACCATTTTGGACACAGCCTCAATCTGCGTCACATGTCTTTGTCTTCTTCCAGCTGCAGACTGGTGGGACTGACACAAACCTAATAGTAGTTTGTTATTTAGCTGTTAGGAGACTTAACATTTAGTGGAAGCTAAGTGGACTATTAAAGGTTTAAAATAAAAATAAAATTCTGCTATTAGCTCTGCCATGCTCACCACAGCTTCTCAGACTGGTAGTTTGTGATCTAGGCACAATACAGCTTCCAGTGACTACAGCAAGTTCAACGAGATACCACATATCTGTAGCATATATGACCCCGGTCATATATGATATGGTCATTAAAAATAAAGTATTTTCTTAATGGAAAACAAACAAAAATGACAAAAAACACTTGATTTAAGCTTTTAGCTAAAAAAACAAAACAAAACCCAAAACAAGTAAAAAACAAAGGACCATTTTCWGAATATTCTACCCTTTTCTGATCAGTTTCCCAAACATATGCAAATAAGAGGGATCAGCTCTATCTGGATTAAAATGATATCTATGCACACAGAGGCCATACCTGTATGTAGTGCTACACAAATGCCATTAAATCACCCATAAAATATATGATACAAGGTCTCTCCAGGCTGGTTAAAAGCGACTCAAGACATAGTAATGTTATGACTGTTTTGAGCTATGGAGCCACAGCACCTAATTTAACAAAACCATTAATAAACTCTCTATTAGGATAGTTTATAGGGTACTTGCACATAATTCCATCATATTTAGTGTAACCACCTCATATTTTGCTCCTATAATCATTTCATGAACTCAGCAAAAAGACAAATTAGACTTACAGTAAGTCAAATCTTCCTGTGCTGCTCCAGCTACCAGACCCAATATGGTTTTGCCTCAGTCTGAAGCAGATGTCTGCCTACACAGCGTGTAATAGCAGCATAGAAACCTACTGCCTTCCCTAAGTTTAAATTCACAAGTTACAATATCAAGCAGTCAGGCAACATTGACTTAATTCACAAACAAACCSAAATGTTCTTTGGGTAAGCAAAAACACACAATACTAGGAGCAGATTTTATTTGCACTGGGGGGAAAATGATTCTTTAATTGGAACACTTCTTGCAGAGTCATTAGGCTCTTGAAAGAATAATGAGATGCACTCRAAGGACAGAGTTCAAGGCAGCGAGGCGTGTCCACTTCTCAACAACAGTGACCTATAMTGTGATTGCATAAGGCTGTAAAAGAGATCAACCAAGCAATAAAGATAATTAGAACGTAAAAAGATTCATACAAATTCATGTCGRCATTAGTCAAATTCTGGCCCAGAAAGCAGACAACCCCTCTTGTAACATGGACACAAAGCCTTAAAAACCACCATAATCCTCACACCTGCCAACACACACAGTAACACACAGACTCTGCAGCAGCAGGTTGTTCAGCTTTGACCTAATTACACTTGCTTACCTTGGCAATTTGGACACACCAGTTGAGCAACAGCTGCGATCCAATGTTGTCCTTGTGCTCGTGAACGTAGTCGAGGAGGCAGCCGTGGGGCATGAGCTGGGTGACCAGCTGGATGGTGGGACTTAGGCAGACGCCCAGAAGACGAACCAGGTGGGGGTGCTCCATGCTAGCCATGATCAGGGCCTCCTAACCGAGACGAGGAAAGAGAAAACAAAAACAAACTAAGAGGGCTGGTTTACATCAGGGATGTGTCCTTTCCGTTTACCAATGCTTTTCTGAGTCATGTGTTTTATGAAACGCTGATCCAATCATGCTCTTATTATTATTTTATTTATGTGAGTTTATCAGAGTAGATTTGGTTTTGTTTCATGTGGTGTGTTTGATAAAGTATCAGAGGGCAAATCCAAGTTTTATAGGGAGCGTAACTTGTTCATTTCACTGTAAGACCTCGAGACAGTTTTAATAAAACCACTTCTGGAGATTGGACAGATATCATTTTGCCAGCATGGTCACAAAAAAGATTTTTAGTTGTGTGTCATCTAACTAAACAAACTTTTCAGATAATTAGAAATGCAGTTTGTACCATTTCTATGTATAGGCTTCTTTTATAGGACTTTTGTGAAGGATACTATGGAATAAATTACTGAATCAAAACAAATTTTATAATGAGCACAATAAGGTGTATCACATTTTATTGTAGGGTAACATTTCAAACTGATTATGTAATCCATCACATCAAACACAAACTGCACCACCTAATAAAAGAAGCACCATGTATCATATCTTATCTATTAAACAAGGTGAGTCAAAAGCTTCAGAACACCCTTTTATTAGACATAAAAAGGAAAATGAAATATCTGAATACCCAAGCAAGTAATGGGTGAAGGGGCCTACTTTTTTTGATTATATCCAGAACGTGGTTCCCATCTCGAAAGCTGCCATATAACATATCAAAAGAGACCAGAATTGTCTCAGAATTTGATTGCATATTGGCAGTCTCACGTGTTTTAAATTGTTGTCAACAAAGAATGCCACAACAAATGAAAATGCTACCTGTTATTTGATGTGTTCAATATGCTGTCCCTGGTGCTGAACACAGACCAGCACCAGGGACAGGCACGTTAAAGTACCACTGATTTTCTGAGAATATTCTGGTCATCTTTGACCAGAATCTTCAACCTTCCCATTGGAAAAAATGGACATTGATCAAATATGGTGGCAATGTTCTGGACATAGGCCCCCCTCACCCATTACTTGTGGGGTCTTCAAATATTTCCTTTCCCCTTTTATTTCTAAAAAAAAAGTGTCCTGAGACTTTTGACTCAACCTGTAAACTGTATGTATCAAATCATATCACATCACATTTTATCTATCATATCTATATCTATTATCTATACTCTCTATTATCCATCCATCCATTATCTACACCCGCTTCTTCCTTTCAGGGTCACGGGAGACACTAGTGCCCATATCYAGCAGTCACAGTGCGAGGGGCGGGGTACACCCTGGACAGGTCACAAGTCCATCACAGGGACCTATAGAGACAAATGAGACAAACAACCATTCACTCTCTCACTCACACCTAGGGACAATTTAGAGTTATCAATCAACCTAACAGTCATGTTTTTGGTCTGTGGGAGGAAACCGAAGTGCCCGGAGAAAACCCACGCATGCACAAACAGAACAAGCAAACTCTACCCAGAAAGGTCCCCGGGCCGAGATTTGATCATGTGACCTTCTTGCTGAGAGCCATCAGACATCTATCAACTGAGCCAGATGATATCATCTTTTAACATTTTAACTGATCACAACACGTCATACTGTATCATAGCATTGCTCCATTTATTTTTTTCACATCACATCAAATATCATCTTCAATTTTATTGTATGTCATACATCTTATATTGTACCTTTTATAAATGGTACATGGACTGTACTTATATAGCGCCTTTCTATCCAACTAGGATACTCAAAGTGCTTTACACACTTGAACTGTAACTGTAATTACACTGAACTATAAATTCATTGTGCTCTGTAAAATAACAATAAAAGTTTATTCAATTTACCCATTCACACTCACACTCACTCAGCACTCTACTATGTCTCTACAAACCTAATACAGGTAAATCAATCTATAGAGACTAATCAGGGTTCAGTGTCTTGCCCCGGGACACCACAACACGTGACTGAATAGCAGTGGAATCGAACCACCAACTCTCACATTAGAGGAACGACTCCCCTAACCACTTAGCCACAGCTGCCCTTGTGTGTTCTTTTTCTCATTTCAACATTTSAAACTTAGGATTTGTTTTGTTCAAGAGTCTATCAGCAGAAGATCACTGAACCTTTAAGTTATTTTACTGAATATCATTAAGTTTTGTTTAAACAGTCCAAATGAATAGGTCTGACCATGCATGCATTACCTACAGACAACCCTACACTACTCCGTGTCAAGATCCATAAATTAAAACATGGACATGATGAACAACTTCTGTCCTGAATTTTCTCCCCAAAAAATAACAAATAAATAAAAAATCCTAAAGAAAATGTCGAACACGGTCAAAGCACCACAAATGCAGAAACTGTTCGTGGATCTTCTTTAAGCATGTAGCACAAAGAGCCTTTTCTTTTTTTAAACAGTGCACAAGCGAAACCCGGAGCATTAAAATGTGAGGCATGTATGCTCATAATCCTCAACACTGGCAAATGCAAACTCGCTTTGGGTCTGATTTTGTAAGCTCCCGTTTCATTTACACGTGCAAATCCATCTTTCCCCTCTCGTCTCTCTCCACAGCAGATGGACGCAGAGGTTTGAACAGTTGGGACTCGACGTCGGGTAATTGTTATTGCGGAGCTGCAAGCAGAAGGACGTGTGCTGCTGATGAAGTGTTGTGATTGCAAAGACGGGCGCTCGTGGCCCGGTGTGTGTGCAACGAGAACTGCGACTGCCGCGTCTCGAAAGCACTTCCCCCTGTATGACTCTCCTGCCTGCTCGGGCCACGCAGACTCAGTCCCTCGTCAGCTCCCTCTAAAACACTCGCACTCAAGGATGCACACACGCTGCCTTTGCATGCGGCACGTGGTCAAGGAGGGGTATATATCCAGGCTTTGCCCTCGGGGCAGCTGATAGATACGGGCAGTTTCGTTGTAAAATTTATATGTGAGAAAATGAGCTCAGAGGGTGAGCGGTGGTGCTGTGAGTACATTAATTCGAAATAAGAGGTGTAGAGTGGGCCGTGGAGAAGGCTTTCGGCACCTTCGGTGATTTAAACAGAGCCTTCAGGCCTAAAGTGGCGCCGCTACATCTTCGAAGCATAAACCCACCTGCTCCCCTCACCGACTGCTCCACACATCCAGGTTGCGGCCACCTCGACGCTGAACTCGACACTACGGGATCAGGAGAGGAAGAAAACAAGGGAGTCCGGGAGCTTTTATACTCGCTCTGTTCTCCCCAGAGACCCGGGAGTCGTAAACTATGTCCAGCTAAACACTTTCCGTTCCCTGGGCGAACGTTCGAGGACTTGTGTGTGTGTGTGTGTGTGTGTGTGTGTGTGTGTGTGTGTGTGTGNCACGTACACAGTGCACACCGTGCCCGGGTACACGGGGCTCACACACACCTACACCTTCATCCATGCACATATCTGTACTCTTTGTGTTCATCGTTTCCCCTTTATGCCTCCATATAGATGAGTGCGTGTTGGCTGATTGGTGATGCCCTCTGTGCCATCTGCAGCAAACCCCCTTCCACACACACACACACACACTCGTCCCACTCCTCACAAGGGTGGGCTTAACCATCTGTGTGCCAGTGTGTTCCCACAGTGACAAAAGAGGGGAGATATGTGTGTGTATGTGCCCGAGAGCTTGTGTGTGTGTTTTGGTTTCTCTCTCATCTCCCCGAGACCTGACCTCCATTACTGCCGGCTGACCTGCCTTTTCCATCTTGCTCCCTTGCTCACTTTCCCCCTTACACACACACACACACACACACACACACACAAACACACACACACACACATCTGGTGATAGACTCGCAGAGCTCTGCAAAACTGGTGTGTGTTCCAGCAAGGCTATGCATGCTCCGGAGCGCACTAAATTAATGTATTACCAGGATTTTTTTACCTTTCACACACACCGGACTCAAATTCACATATTTGCTAACACAAGCAAATTGCCCCTGCATTTCTAACACGCAAAGCCAAAACCCACCCAGGGAAGACGTTCGCTACAACAAATCTGCTCTTTGCATATGTGTGTGTTTCTTTGCAGAACTTCCGTGTGTGTGTGTGAAGCTGGCACTCCAGTGGCCAGTTTTTCTGTGGCGAAACGTGAGCCTGCCTTTAGATTGCTGTTTAACAAGCCAGCAGACAGAGCATATTGGCTCTAGATGGACGGAAACTCCCGCTGGGAGAAACTGTGAAAGTAAGATGGGGAGGAAGAGGAAAGATGCAAGAATAGGAGAGAGGCAAAAAAAGATGGCCACATTTAGTTTCTCAGCAAAATTGAGAGGTTTAACCGCGTTATCTTTCATCAGAATCGTTTAAAATCAACAATACGAGGGGAAGAAAAGAAAGAAACACATTTTTCATCAGTAATATTAGACCCCTAGTGCCTGGTTCACACGGCAAGATTTTAAAAAATTCATTTTCAAAGAGTGAGAGACCCCACATATGACAATAGTAACAAAAAATCAAGGATATAACAGGTTTGGTCCCACAGTGTGAGGTGTACAGCCACATGGCAAAAAGACAACACACCACATGAACAGATTTCACTCACGAACATTCAGATTTCAATTCTACATAGATAATCTGTTGCTCTCTCACGAATAACCTGGATGTTCAAGCAGCATGGATTGAACATAAATTCAGTGGTAAAATTACAACATTAAAAACAGTTCTTAGCGACAAGTTCGATGCATCCGACTTAAGGAAATGCAGGAACGTTTATTTGAAAGGGTCTAAGCCAGACTTGGAAAAGGTTGGTGTTTTTACTGGTGTCTTGTTGCTTGTGGTTGCCACAACTACCTACTGTGTGTGTGAATTTAGACCAAGGCTTCTGCATCACAGCAGAAGTCTTCAACAATTTTTTCCAAGTTATGTCTTTAAAMACACATCWTCATAAATCCAACATGTAGCAAATTGATAAATGGAGGCATGAAATAAATTTGAATGTCCCCCTGATGAAGAGTTAGCCTGCGACCTTGAAAACAGTGAGGACATGGTTAGATGCCACTGCTGAGGCGCTGAGGGACTGATTTGAGGCCACAGTGGGTGTTTCTGCACTGCACTGCACAGCCTGGTCATTGGTAACACATTCTTTGGGGGTATAAAAAGTCTGAAAATTGTTGTTTCWTAAATGTTTGTCACATAAATTTGATACTGTCATACTGTAATTCTTGCGCTTTTGTTATTTATTTTTGGTTCCTTTTTGTTTCTGTATATTTTTGGTACTTTAGGATTTTTGGGTTTTGTCCTTCCTTGTATTATGTTACTACTAATAAAACCTTTCAGTCTTGTGTTTTGGCTTCTTTGTGTTCCTGGTGTTTCGCATTTCTACCTCAGTCAGCTTTCTGCATTTTTCAGTCAGCCACTCTCACCTGTTGCCACTTCCTAATCAGCCCAGCTGCCTCCCATGTCTCATCATCCCAGTCCTATTTATTCAGTCTCCTGCCATCTTCACACAAGCGGATCATTGTATYGTCTCGTATTTCCATCCTCAAAGTTCCTGTGTTCCACAGTCTAGCTTCTGTTATGCACGGTTTGCTGCCACCTTGGCTCTGTGTCTTCTCATTTTTGTTATTATTGTCCTTTTAAGATCATGCATTGAGTCCTTGTGAGTCGGACTTCTGGGTCTGACCAAAACCTTATAAATATTACCGTATTTATTCGTGTATAATACTGTTGGAAAAATATGCGTTGTTGAAAATGGTATGTCAGAATAAACAGGATTCAGCTGGATTTCTTGTTAAAACTTTATTTTTGATCCTCTGACTCCAATCAGGTACATTCAGCGCTCAGCAGCACAGGCCTCAGCAACAACCTTGGGCCAAATTAAAACAAACACGGGAGCTCTGCTCTGTGCAGATACTACAAAACACTGACTTCTTTTTACTATAATAATGAATTGAGCTTATAATGTTCATCTCTTCCTGGTTACACCCCAGAGGTGTTACCTTATATGTCAGACATCAGAACATCACAGTTTTGTTTAGGCTAAGAGAAAGAACACATGATAACACACCAACTCTTTGTCAGCTTCAACCTTACAGACTGAAATGATCAGAAAGTATAAAATAAAAAAACTGAATCTAATGTTCAATTAATCAGTTACAAAATTTCTTTAATCCCTCTCGACATGTACTGTATAAAGTATGTCAAAACTATAAGAAATTTTATGAAAACTTTATAAAGAGAAGTTATAACATCTGTTGTCACATCAGGATATTTCTAAACATTTCCCAACTCCAGAAATTCAAATTTTAATCCTCCCAGACATAAAAATATTCATTATCAGGGATAAAACGCATAATGTTTTTTTTCCCACTCTTGTTTCTTCTTCTCTGTYCATTTATTTTTATTCCTCATCCAAAGGTTCTGTAGCTTTGTGCGATAAT